GGTGGGTGAGTGGGTGAGTGAGTTGGTGAGTTAGTGGGTGAGTGAGTGAGTGGGTGAGTGAGTGGGTGAGTGAGTGGGTAAATGAGTGGATGAGTAGGTGAGTGAGTGGGTGAATGAGTGAGTGGGTGAATGAGTGGGTGAGTGGGTGAGTAAGTGGGTGGGTGAGTGGGTGAGTGGGTGAGTGATTGGGTGAGTGAGTGAGTGGGTGAGTGAGTGGGTGAGTGGGTGGGTGAGTGAGTGAGTGAGTGGGTTGGTGAGTGAGTAAGTGGGTGAGTGAGTAAGTGAGTGGGTAAATGCTTTCTCAACTCCCACAGGCGCATGGTCCCAACTGCCTGAGGACTCTCCCTGTGTGGACGCACCTTGCTAGGAGTTCAGTGTGAAATGCACTGATGTACTCATCAGCCACTAGATACCCAGACATCAGCCAGGTGTCCTGGCTGGGCAGCCACAATCCCTCCTCCCCCAGGGCCCGGGCAAACCTGGTAAGGTCTCACCTACTTCAGGCCCCTGGGCTCTTTTCTAGGCCCTTGGGGGGATGAGACACCTGCCTGGCTCCTCTCCCTGCCCCCACTGCCACTTTGACCCACTGTGGAGGCTTAGCTCCGTGGAAACTCTGGGATCAGTCTCATCCCCCAGAAGTGAGTGATCCTGAGTCCCAGCCCCAAGCCCAGGGTTTCCTGCTTTGGAGTCTGGAATTCTCAGGCCGTTCTTCCTCAAACAGGGGACTTGCTGGAGCCACATGTGGGAGACTGGACAAGTGATCCTTCGCCTGGAGCCCCACAGCAGTGCCCGAGCTGGATGGGAAGTACACACAGCACGCACAGCACGCACAGCACGCGCACCACGCACCACGCACCACGCACCACGCACCACGCACCACACACCACACATCCAGCAGCAGATGCCACTGCAGAGGGAAGCAGAGGGCTTGAGGAGCAAGAAGGGAACGGGGGCATCAGCAGGCCCCTCCAGGAGGTGCATTCGGCTGCAGCCTCGAGCAGGGCTGCACTTGAAGCGGGTGGCACAGTGGAGTGTGGTGCAGTGGGGGCAGCCTGAGGCAGGGGGAGGCCTGTAGAGCCTGCTGGGTGGGAAGGAGGAGGCTTCTGGAAGGACCAGAGCTGCTCTGGAGAGCAGCCTTCCAGCAGGTGAGGGGCAGGGTCTTCCAGCCCAGCCTGAGCCTGCCCTGCTCTGCAGCTGCCACTGGGCCCCAGAAAGCAAGGGGCCTGCTGCCTGGGAAAGCCTCGTTTGCAGAGAGGTGACCCTCAGGGTCCGGAGTGGGGAGGGCCGGAGTGGCTGGGCTGAGCTGTCGCCTGAGGACTCTTGTGGGGGACAGTACTGGGGAAGCTGGCCTGGAATCAGGGTCGGAACTCCTGGGTTCCCTCTAAAGTGCTGAGACAGAGCTGTGGCTGGGCCTCTGACTCCGGGGTGGGTGGGGCCCTCTGGGGTACCCCCCTAGTTAAAAATTAGCACTGAAGCAGGGTCTTAAGTCAGAGCAGGCAGGGCTCCCCTGCAGGCAAGCAAACCACAGCCTCAGCCCAGTGATTAGGCAGCCGCCTCCGTGGAAGGGTCCCAGACCTGCCTGTGATCCCTCACCCTGCAGTCTGAGTAATTCCTGAGTGACAACGATCCACACTCCCTCACCCGTGCGGATGCTGCCGGGAGAGCCTTTGCCAGGCCTCCACAGCTGGGTCTTCCCAAATCCGCCTTCCACGGCTAGTTCCATCCTGTCCTGGGGGCAGTGGGGGAGGGGCAGGCCAGGCTCTCACCCCTCACCCTGCCTGCTCCCCCTCATTCACTCATTTGCTCTTTCATTCCCTCATCCCACTGCTGTTGCTTCTGGAGCGCAGAGCTGGCCATGTGTTGGGCTGGGAGCGACAGACAAACCCATGCATGTTTTACGGAGGAGAAAACAGAAGTTCTGAGAGATCATTTGCCCAGAGCCGCATGGTTGGAAGGCTTGTGTTCATCCCTGCTCCCAAGACTCGCCTGACTCCACAACATTCCGTAGCCCTGGCCTGAAATTCTGGTCGCCTTGTGCCCGGTGTACAGGGTGGGGGCACTCCCAGGAGGACTCAGAGGAGGCTTGGCTGGCCGTGTTCTGGGCCCCGCGTGATCCCAGGTTCTCTGATGGACACTGGGGTGCCCGAGAGAGGCTGTATGTGCTGTGGACAGAGGTGTCTGCCCCCTAGTCCTGCCCAGGCCCAGGTCCTGCTCCTGTGCCTGGTGAGGGCGGGTTGCTGCCCAGTGTAGGCCTCACCTAGCAGTTCCTGGGCACTGGCTGAGGTCTGCTCCCGCTCCGAGTCCAGGGTCTCAGCCAGGCCCAGCCGGTGAGGGAGGCTGCGTGGCCTCGTGGAGTCAGGCAGGGTAGCTTCGAAGTGGTCAGCAGCTGCCTGCTGGGGTGGCTGGGGCTGGAGTCCTCCTCCTGGCTTTCCAGGACGCACAGGCTGGGTTTGGAGTTGCAAGGGGAGATGGATGGAGGGAGGAGAGAAGCCCAGGGCCATGGCTCCCAGCTCCTCTGAAAAGCTGTGAGCTCGATAGCGTCCACTTTGCATTTTATCAAATCGCCATTTCTCACAGAAGAAGCTGTCAGCCGCCAAAATTGCTGCCTGAAAGGAGCAGGAATGAAAAGATTCACCTTGAGGACATTCCTCTTTGTCAAGAGCAGAAAAGACTCCATTTGCCAGCCGGGAGAGGATTCCGGGGGCATTGATGGCAGTGGGCAGGCTTCAGCAAATGGTCCTGCTTTTTCATGTGAAGCAAGTTGTGGATAATGCGCCCTGCATTCTGTAATTACAAACATGAATAAAAGGGCCTTGGGCATTCACCGCGGAGTGGCAGCCTGTGTACTACCCAGGCATCCAGCAGATGGTGGGCCACGCGGTGTGGCCACTGCTGTCCTGCTGTCCTGTTGGCCTGCCATCCTGCTGGCTGTTCCTCTCCAGCTGAGGCATCCTAGTGACAGTGAGCCCTGAGCCCTCCATCTCCAGCTGCTGCCCCCATGCCCATTGCCTGCCTGCTCAGCTCCCAACTCACCCGTGTCCTTCCTGTCTCTGCCCCAGAGGGGTTTGCTAAACCATGTCCATCCTCCAGCCCCTCGGAACACCCTCCCCCGGGAAACCTTCTTGGCCCACCGTCCACTGGGCTGTCTCCCATGCTGCCTGGAGCCTCACTTGTGCCCATTGTCCAGGTCTCCACTCCCGGCAGGGGTCCAGCTCCGCCTCCCTCTGTGCAGGCACCAGGTGACTCTGGGACTCAGCCCCTCCATCCATAAGGTGGGAATAACTTTTGTGTTGCAGCTGGAAGGAAGGACAGGGCCCAGAGTAGGGAATGGGCAGGGGTAAGGGAGCTAGGGACTCTGGCTCAGCCCCACAGTGGATTTGTGGGTGTTGTTGATCTCTTCCAATCTCCATGCCTCAATTTCCACATCCGTCACTGAAGACTTGTGTAATCACAAAGGGATGGGTTGGTGGTACAAATCCCAGAAAGCACTACTCCAAACCCACTATTCACTTCCCACGTCTCTGCCATTAGTATCCTAGGCTGCTGTAACCAGGTGTAGGCACACTTTGTTTTATTCCTCTTTGCTTTATTGCACGTTGCAGATACTGTACTTTTTTATAGATCGAGGGTTTGTGGCAGCCCTGTGTCGAACAAGTCAATCAGAGCTGTTGTTCTAACAGCACGTTGCTCACATCACATCTTTGTGTCACACTTTGGTAATTCTCGCCACATTGCACTCATTTTCATCATTACTGTAGCTGTGAGGGTGATCTGTGGTCGGTGATCTTCGATGTTACTAGTGTGACTGGTGGAACCATGAACTATGCCACATCTCTCACTTTAAATCAAAAGCTAGAAGTGATTAACCTCATTGAGGAAGGCATGGGGAGACCCCAGGCAGGCCGAAAGCTGGGAGCTGGGCATCTGGTGCCAGTTGGCCAAGTTGCGAATGCCAAGGAAAAGTTCTATAAGGAAATTTAAAAATGCCGCTCCGGTGAACGCACCACTGATAAGAAAACACAGCTGTCTTATTGCTAATGTGGAGACAGCTCGAGTGGTCTGAATACATCGAAGCAGCCATCACACTCCCTTAAGCCAAAGCCTCACCCACAGCGAGGCCCTGATTCTCAGTTCTGTGAAAGCTGAGAGAGATGAGGAAGCTGCAGAAGAAAGCTGGAAGCTAGCAGAGGCTGGTTCATGAGGTTTAACATGTGTCCCCAGAATATAAAAGTGCAAGGTGAGGCGGCAAGTGCTGATGGAGAAGCTGCAGCGAGTTCTCCAGAAGATCCAGCTCAGATCATCGACGAAGGTGGGTGCACTAAACAACAGATTTCAACGTAGAAGACACAGCCTTCCATTGGAAGAAGATGCCATCTAGGACTTTCATAGCTAGAGAGGAGAAGTCGATGCCTGGCCTCAAAGCTTCAAAGGACAGGCCCCCTCTCTTGTTAGGAGTAAAGGCAGCTGGGTGATGTTAAGTGGAAGCCAGTGCTCATTTGCCATTCCCTGAAATCAGAGGGCCCTTTGAGACTTATGCAAAATCAACTGTCTGTTCTGAAAATGGAACAGCAAAGTCTGGACAACAGCACATCTGTTTACAGCATGTTTGGCTGAATATTTTAAGCTCACTGTTGATACCTACTGCTCAGAAAAAAAAAAATTCCTTTCAAAATATGACTGCTTATTGACATGCACCTGGTCGCCCAAGAGCTCTGATGGAGACTCGCAGGAGATGAATGTCGTTTTCGTGGCTGCTGACACAACATCCATTAGGCAGCCCATGCATCAAGGAGTCGTTTTGACTTTCAAGTCTTACTATTTAAGAAAGACATTTTGTAAGGCTGTAACTGCCATAGACAGTGATTCCTCTGATGGATCTGGGCAAAGTCAATGGAAAATCTTCTGGAAAGGATTCTCTATTCTAGAAGCCGTGAAGTATGGGAGGAGGTGGAGATATCAACATTGACAGGAATTTAGAAGAAATGGATTCCAGCCCGCACGGATGACTTTGAGGGGTTCAAGACTTCAGGGAAGCAGGAACGGCACATGTGGTGGAAATAGCAAGAGAACTAGAATGAGAAGCGGAGCCTGAGGACGTGACTGAATTGCTGCAGTCTCGTGAAGAAACTTGAAGGGAGGAAGAGCTGCTTTTTATGGATGAGCAAAGAGAGGGAACACTGTTGAAATGACAACAAAGGATTTAGAATATTCCATCAAAACTTAGTTGATGGAGCAGTGGCAAGGATTGAGAAGACTGACTCCACTGTTGAAAGAAGTACTGCTGTGGTTTCAATGCTGTCAACAGAATCACATGCTACAGGAAAAGTCAATTGATAAGGCCAGCTTCACTACTGTCCTAAGAAATTGCCACAGCCACCCCAGCCTTCAGCTCCCACCACCTCCATCAGACAGCAGCCATCAGCACGGAGGCAAGACCCCCACCAGCAAAAGATGATGATTCCCTGGAGGCTCAGATGGTCGTTAGCATTGTTTGGCAATGAAGTGTATTTTAATTAAGGTAAGTACATTGTTTTTTACAGGATGCTATTGCACACTGAATAGACTACAGTACAGTGAAAACATCCTTTTATACGCACCAGGAAACCAAAATATTCATGTGACTCACCGTATTGTGAAACTCACTTTATTGCAGTGGTCTGGAATGGAACCCACAATATCTCTGAGGTTTGCCTGTACCAGAGCGTGGGTGGCTTAAACAACAGAGATTTATTCTCTCACTGTTTTGAAGGCAGAAAGTCCAGGATCCAGGCGTTGGCAGGGCTGGGTCCTTCTAGGGCTATGAGGGAGAACTCGTTCCACGGCTCTTGCCTCGTTTCTGGAGGTTGCTGGCTGTCTCTGGGGTCCACGGCTGGTGGAAACATCACCCCGGCCCTTGCTCTCAACCCCTTGGTGTTTGCCCTGTGCATGTGTTTGTATCCAAATTCCTTCTTTTTATAAGGACACCTGTCGCATCCGATGAGGTGCCTGCCCTACTCCAGGGTCATCTCATTTTTCTAATCACATCTACAACGACCCTATTTCTAAATAAGGTCACGTTACACGTACTGGGGATTCGGGCTTCAACATCTGAACTCCACCGAAGCATCTAGAGCTGGTGGCTAGGGCTGCTCAGCCCCTGTGCTGGTGTGTACCCCCAACAGAGGCCACAGGGACACTCCCTCCCTGCAACCCCTTTGCCATGGGATGGTCCACGCCAGGGGGATGGCTACCTGACTGGGGGATACCAACAAGGTGGGGGCTGGTCTGAGACCAGAGTCTGCATCTGGGTGCCCCTCCAAGGCTGTGTTCACACCTCTGAGAGCTGACCCACAAACTCACCCAGGACCCGGGAGCCTGCAGCCCTCAGGACCTGCCCCTGCCCTCCCCTCCCCTTTCTTTCCTTTGCTTTGCTTTCTTAGAGGATACAGAATGGATGTGGCTGGTGGGGCACTCATGAGGGGCTTTTAGACCCCGCCTAGTGAAAGAGCTTGGAGCTTGAGGGGGCTTGGCCAAGTCTTCATCCCCCACCAGCGGGGCACCCGACTGCCCTGTATCCCCTACGTCACTTCACTGTGACCTTGGGCCTAGAGGGAGCAGACAGGCAGGCCTCACCTCCTGGGCTGGGTGCAAATTAAGTGCTGTGATGCCAGTGGATCTGGCCAGGAGCTGGCCCGGGGCTGGCCGGGGTGGTGGGTAGCTCCCCCTTCCTTCCTCCTTCCCTCCCTTCCTCCTGCCCTTGGAAGAATAGCCTGGGCTCTCCCACCCCAGGGAAGCCTTCTTTCTCTCTCTTTCTCTCTGCTGTGGGCTGGGGGCTTCCAGGGGTGGTCTCCTCCCTGTGTGCTTAGTGTCTCCTCCCTGCCCACTCCTAGGCCCTTTCTGTTGTGCTCCCATGGCGTGGGGCGGGGTGGGGGCAGGGATGGGGCGTGAGGCCTTCCCAGTCAGCGCTGAATAGTTAAGAGCCAAGTAATGAAAGGCTCACTGGGTGTTGATTGTGCCCTGGGGCCAGTTTGGGGAGGACTTATGCGTCCCAGCCCAGTGTCACCACCCACAGGCAGGTGGGAGGGCACCAGCTTAGAGGGATCTGAAGCCAGCGGAGGGCCCACAGGTGCCCAGGGAGCAGCTGGCCAGGGCCCAGAAGCCCCCTCTGCCATCCCTGCCCCAGGAGTGCCCAGTCAGAGGGGAGAGGCCCAGAAGAGTGGGTGCGTACAGGAGATCCCCATGCCTGGCAGTCCTGGAAGGCTTCCAGGGCAGGTGGGGCTGAGCCTCCTGCAGCTGGGTGGGTTCAGCAGAGGTGGGCAGTGTGCCTTCAGGGCCCTGCAGCAGCTGGAGCCACCGCCTCATCCAGAGCCGTGCTGTTCAGGGCAAGGCTGCCTTCCCTCCATAATTAATTCATTGGGTCTCTGGCCCCTGTCTGGCTGCATCTCCACAAGGGAAGAAAGAGACCAGCCACCTCCTTCTCTGAGAGCAGCTTACACAGCAAGGCCCGTCAGGCTGAGCCATGACCTGGGACCCTCACCCTGCCCCTGCGCTGTGCCAGCCTGGCCCTGGGGTTCACCTACCGCTGTGATACCCTGTCTGATACCCTGTCCTCCAGGGGCTGGAGTCCGGCCCCTTTCTGGGAGCCCCCATTCCAGCCCCACAGGCAGTGTGGTAGCCAGAGCAGAACCCGCGCCCAGCAGTCAGCTGCCTCTTCCCTGGCCCTGGCTGGACGACCTCCCTGGGGTGTGAGGTGAGGACCATGTGGCTCCTGTACCGGGGGTCCCTCTGTCTCCCAGGGGCAGTGCTGAACTCCTTGCCTGGTGCGTCTCCAGGTCTGATTGGCTCATCATCTGCTCCATCGCCCTTCTTCCCACGCCAGAGCTCTGATCCTGGGTGGGTGTCCAGCCTTGCTGTGTCTGAGGCCAGTGGAGACGGGCCTGGCACGGCCCAGCTGAGCACGCACGGCCATGCTGGAGCTCACCCCACAGGACGGAGAATGACACCAGCGCAGCTGCAGTAAGGACCAGGGGGTGCCCAGGAGGCTGGAGGCTAAGTAGGGCCCCCTGGTCCTGTGGTGGAAATGAGAACAGGGTCCTGGTGGGAGGGAAGTCCTGGGACAGAGCCTGGCCAGCCCGACACATGCAGGCAGTGGGAGAAGCTGGCGTTAGCAGTTCCTGGGGAAGCTTATGGTCAGCCCCCGGCACTTCTCCCGGCGTGGCTGTGGAGAAAACTGGCCACTGCGGGGAGGCAGCTGCTGGGCGAGGGGCTTGGCAGAGTGACCAGGCCCAGCTGTACACCCTTGCTGCTGTCCTGCTTCTCCATAACATCCTGTGTGGCTTCCTGCCCTGGCAGTCCTGGAGCCTTGACCCTGACTGCCCCAGGCTTGCCTCCCTCAGCTCCGCCCATCTGCAGGAGGCTCAGCTCCACCTCCCCCTGGAAGCCTACCAGGACTGCTGGCCCGGGTCGGAGGGCCTCCTGCGAGCACCCACTCTCCTGGGCCTCCTCCATCCTAGTGGGTACTCTCCAGTGGACACGGATTCACCATGTGTCCCTGGACACCTCTGGAATGTTTGCTGTCCCAGCGCATTGTCCCGATTCGTGGAATGGAGTGCAGGGTTGTTGGGAGGATTAGAATAGGGCCTATCACAGCCTGGGTCCGTCTGCACCAGCTGGGATCATAGGTTGGGGCAGATTTTCTTAGTTCTGGCAAGACTTGCTTGAGCATAGAGAGATCAAGGAGCCCGCATGTCTTGGGCGTAGAGTGCAAAGGGCAGGGGCTGACCCTTCCCAGTTAGTGGGGGGTCCTGGGAGGGGCAGATGCTGGGCCATGGTTCCGTGGAAACAGGATGCTAGGGGAGCCAGGGCCCCAGGCCTCCCCTCTCTTCTCACTGCTGGTGGCCAGGCTCCAGGCTCAGCTTAAGGATGGGCGTGGACACGCTTTCTGCAAGGGTTTGATGGCTGGCGCCTACCTTGGGCCTGTTCTGCTCTCCTGTGACTGCCAGTGGCCCCAGCACAGGTGATGGAGGGAGGCGGACAGGCTCCTTCGCCAGCACCTGCCCTCAGGGTGGCTGGACTGCCTGATGACAGCCTGCACTGACCCTGTGGTGCTGGCAACCCCGCAGGAGCCCTAGGCCCTGGTCAGTCAGGCCTTCTTGGGGCACAATGGGGCCAGGGCTGGCTCCAGAGAGCCACTCGGCCGTGGGGCGTGGGCCTCACTTTAGGGTTTCTCCTCCTCCCACTCCAAGGCACTGTGCCCACTAGTCACCCCTTGCTGGGCCTCCGGGGGCCACAGTGAGACTGGGCCAGGTAGCCTGCCTGGAACCCACTTCCCTGAGAATCCTGACTGCCCCACGGGAACCACAGTAGGGACTTGCTTGCCGGTAGCCGTCAAGTCAGCCCTGCGAAGTCTGATGTTTGGAAGTGCCGCTCACAGGCCACCAGACTGCTTGCTCCTGGAGGCCCCGTTACCAGGAAGGCCTTTCCCATTCTGCAGGCCTGGGCACGGTGTGAGTGGGCCGCACTCACACTACCTCACAGTGAAGGGCACACAGCCGGGGACCCTGGAGTCCTCTGCTCCAGGAGGGTGTCCAAGCCCCTGAGACTTACCCTTTTCTGGGTGGTTCCTAGCCATACAGCCTGTTCCTGGTCAAGACCCCCACCTCCTGCCCTGCCCCTGGCCCTCTCTTGCGCCCTGAAGGCCTCCTCACGTTGCTGCTGGGCATTGCCCTGGCAACCCCTGGTCTCCATCTTCCCTCAGTCCACCCCACACCCGCTATCAGCATCAATTTTAAACACACTCCAGAGCCTTCAAACACATTCCAGAGCCTACCCTTCTGCTCAAGGACCCGCCATGGCTCCCCACTGCCGTGGGATCAGAATGCCTCTGTTCAGTCCCCAGCCCTCTGCTCGGTTCCAAATGAGTGCCTATGTGGGACTGCTCAGCCCCTCCCTACATAGCCCATGGAACCTATACCTTCCTTTTGGAGCCCTTGGTGGCTGGGGTCAGGGCACCCCTGAGCAGGTGGCCCTGGGGATGGAATAGGGTTGGCTGGAGGCACCACAGCAGCTAACATGGCCGGGGCTCCAACCACCCCTTTCTGTTGTGTTGAAGGATAGGGGTTGGTGAGACCCGCCTGGCTCCAATCCAACCCCTGCCACTGGCCAGCAGCCCTTCCAAAGCAGGGGCCCCCCACACCAGTCCAGAGGGCCATCCATGCTGGTCCCCACCTGCTCCAAAGGTGTGGGGAGGCCGGTGGTGGGTGGCGACAAGCAGGGGCACAGGGCACTAAAGCCCTGACCTTATATTAGCAGCCATGAGACTTCTGTCAGCATCCCAGGCCCCCCGGGGACAGTGTGGGGCAGGAAAGCTCAGGCTGGAGACTCCAGGGGAAGAGATGTGCCCTGTGAACTCCTAGTAGCCCCAGCCACACTCCCTGAGGCCCAGGAAACTTTGTTTCAGAAATCAGGTTCTGGGCGAGGGGACAGAAAGAATGCAGGGCCTGGGCCTCCTGAGGTCACTTGTTACAGAGAAGACCCCTCCAGCTTCGGGGCACCTGAACCAGCGATGTCTGCAGAGGGCAGCCACTCACTGCAGGCCCGGGCCCATCCGAGCCCTAGGCCGAGGCTCTGTGGCTGGTTCCCCCTCTGGAGAGCAGGAAGGGCCGGGGCCTGAGCTCAGGCAGAGTGGCCTGCACTGGGTCCCTCTAGACACCCTCAGGCCTTGCCTAAAGCTCACCCTACAGGGAGGCAGCAGGGGCTCATCTCAGGTGCCACAGGTGCCCTTGACAGAAACTGTCACCCTGGTCTCTCCGTGATCCTCAGTGGCTGGGGCCACTTCTGCAACAGGCAGCCCAGGGTGTGGTGACAGTGACCAGCCGACCGTGAGCATCCAGGGAGCTGGGGACAGGCGGGGCCCAGGGTGGCTGCCAGCCTGTGAGGGAGGGGTTGGGCTGAGACCTGGCTCACAGGCCATCACCGAGGAAGAAATGCCACTGAAAACAAAATTCATTAGCCCTGTGGGTCCAGAGTGGACGAGGGAAGTGTCAGGGAACCCGGGCTGTGCTCCTCAGAGCGGCTGTGAGTGGAGGTCACCTAGGAGTGGAGCAGGCACAGGGTGCCCCCAGGGCTGGCCCGACTGGCCGGATGGGCTCCAGGAGCCCTGTGGATGCCATGATCGGAGGGGGTGGGCGCTGCCCTCCCTAGAGGGGCCGGGGTGGCCGGGACACTTTGCCGCCACAGCAAACTGAGTTTCTGACCATCTGTCCTCAGCAATTCCACACGACACGGGAGATGCTTCTGGTCCCAATTGTGATTCCTTCTGTGTGAGCTAAGAGCTCCTTCTGCAGGCTCCAAGCCTGAGCTTTGCTCCAAACTGGGCACCACTGCTGTGCTCCACCTTCCTGAAGGCCGCCTTTTGGGTGTGGGCAGGTGGGCCAGGCTCGGGGCCCTCAAACAATGGGGCCAGGGCAACCGCGGAAATCGGAGCATCAGCGCCTGTCCACAGTGCAGGGCCCGTCCGGAACAGCAGGTTCCCTGCCACCCCTGTGGGAAGGGCATCTAGGGCCTGCCAGTGCAGAGCCACCCTGAACACAGCTGCTGCTGTGAACAAGCTCAGGGAGCCTCCAGGTGCTGCTGGGAGGACTGGGCCAGCCAGGTGCGCCTCGGGCTGCAGCTTGCAAGTTAGGGGAGGTGAGGTGAGGGGGATGAGCAGGTGTGGGTGGTGCTTGAGCACCAGCCTCAGAGAGACTCTCCTGGTGGCCACGTCCTAGGGTGGGACAGGCGTCTGTGCAGCCTTGTTTGCGTCCGTGTGTTCTGCAGGCTCCGGTCCCTTCAGGCTCAGCCTCACCACTGCTGGGCCAGGAGCAGGTTGGGCATCTCCAAGGATGTCCCAGGGCTGACGCTTGGTGCTTCACAGACTCCAAGGCTCCTTGGTGGTGTCCCCAGCTCCGGGTCTCTCTGGTCCCTGGTCCCAGACCCTGGTGGGCTGGCTGCTGTGGGTCCCAGGCAGGCCCTGCTTTCCACCAGCCTGGCCACAGAGTGCAGGTAAAATGGGGACAGTGGGTGTGGGGAGGCGCAGCGAGCCTGGCCAGATGCAGAGGCCCAGGCAGGTGGCTGCTCTTGGTGGCAGAGACCCGTTTCGCTTGGCTCCTGTCAGGCTTAGTGTGGCCCAGACCCTTCCTCAGGCCTCACCCCACTCTGGCCCAACCTCAAGCTGGATCCTGCCGCAGGGATGACCCTCTACATCGCTGGAACGTGCAAGGACCATGCCCAGACTGAGCCCCTACCCAGCATGGGCTACAAGGCCCTCTGGAGACATACGGTGGCCAGAAGGGACCCCTGCCCATCCCTGAGCCCAGGTCAAGGCTGTGCCCTGTGAGGGCAGCTCCAGAGCTGTGCCGGCTCCTCCCACAGACAGCAGGGAGATGGCCTGGGCAGCTCTGAGTTTAGTGTGCAAACTGGAAGGCCAGGGCCTTGAGGGCCAGATGCTCACCTGAGCCCCTCCTTGGAGGAGGAAGCTCCTCAAGGGGCTGAGGTCTGGCTGACCTGGCTCCTCCGATGTCGCCGTGAGCCAAGGCTGGGCAGGCAGATCCCACTGTCATGGAGCAGGCAGAGCCAGGTGACAGTTCTAGGACACTGTCTCTGGAAATTTCCCCAAGACACGTGTGAGGGTGATGTGTGCTCTTCCACCTCCACCCCAGGAGCTTCAGCCCAGCAGGCAGCTCCACCCCTGCCCAAGCCCTCCTGCTCCTGGAGCTGCTGGAGGACCCGTCTCAAACCCCTGAGGCTGTTAGGCAGAGCTCTGCCACTGCCCCTTCCCTTGGCCCAAGAGGAAGTTGACATGGGGCACCCCCCCATGTCCCTCACCCTAGGCACCTCTGCTGTGGGGTCCTTGGGACTTCTCTCCACCTGGAGCCGGCTGGTCCACCTGGGGCAGACATAGCCTGAGGCGGGTACTGGGCCCATACTGGAGTGGAGGTGGGGCATCTATGATGTGCTCAGCCCACGGAGCGTCCAGCTCCTGCTCTCCAGAGCGGCCATGGCAGGGCTGCTTTAGGATGGAGAAGGCAATGGCCCCACACACTCTGGGAGGGGCTGGAAATCCACAGAGCAGCTTTGGAAAATTGGATCTACTGAAGCAGGACCCTGGCTCCACAAAGACCCAGATGTGCCCGCAGTGGGGCGGATGAATGGATACGGTGCTGCCCCCGCAGTGGGACGGATGAATGGATATGGTG